CTCCTTTCTGCTTGAAAGTGAACAGTAAAACTTTGGCATTTATTTGCTATCTCTCCTTAGTAAAAATAAAAATGATATTTTAGAGCTCCTTCTAATCCCTATGATTCATATGTCAGACTCCCTACATTCATCATTTCAAGCAAGTTTTTTTATCCATTTCCAGGCCTAATAGAGAACCATATTCCAGGCAAATTGCCGCCTTTTTATTCCTAATGCTCTAATCAGTGTTAGTAAAGAATGCACATGACAACCTTCATGCAATTATTATTGTTGACTGGCAAGATGTCTATATAAACTATCTTCTTCACTCCTCCAAAACATTTTAAAACCATGGAGACAACAACAGAAAGCCCTTCTTTTGTTCATCAAAATGCATAATCACATAGAAACAGCAAACTCTCCTGCCTATTTTTTTCCTTGGAGCCTTTAAAGTTTCAAATCAAAGCCACAATATATATGTGATGAATAACATTATTACGACAACACTGCTGGCATACAGGGGGTCCTGCATCACTGCAGCCCAGACAGCCATCAACCACTCTTTTAAATATGTGCCTCCTGAAAACTGAGTGCCCATGACTGTTGGTCACCAGCGTTAATCACAGAAAGTGACTTAGATCTATAGTCAGGGATAACAGAAATTTTGGCATTGAACAGTCAAATTTCCCAAGAACCACACAGGAAACTACTTCAGTGTCATCTTCAAGCCCAGGTTTAGATGCCCAAATGTGTAACTCTGCTTAAAGCTACTGAAAAAATTGACTCAACCCCTCTCTCAACATCAGTTCACCTAAAGTATAATCAGTTCAGTTCAGAGAGAGTTCAGACTCTGCTAGAGAATACACTTTTAGAACAATGCAATTTTTAAAACACAACCTCTGGTGCAATTTTCACACTCAGGTTTACAATGTGAGTGGGCACAAGGAGACTATATTGTTCATAATAAAAATAGATTATTCCATTCTCAAAGACAGGAAGCTATTACTCAAATAATTATGCTTTACACCATAGCATTACTTACATGCTTAACCAGTCAAGACTAAATAAAACAATTTCCATCAGAATTTCCATTAACAGTGACCAGTGTGGGATCTAAAATATAATCTAGCAAAACTGTAGTATGGTACATAGGTATACTAGTCTGTTTTCTGCAAAGCTATCCATGCAAATTCATTTATTTGTTGCATCCAGTCTGAGCCTACTTGCAAGTAAGATTGTGGGTGACTCAGCTTGAGGTGAAACAACACTACAAAGACCATCTGCTACAGCACATTGTACGTTCTCTCTGTTCAAAGACCTAATTGTACTTACCCTCACAAACACTAACTGGATGAGGTAATTCAGCAAGACTCTGTAAGGGCTAAGGTCTTTTACAAAAAAAATTTTTGGCTGAAATCATAATAGGCATACAGTATAGTGCTACAATGGCCCCAGAAGGCAGTGAGCTAGCCTCAGGATGAGTCAGTACAGAATTATGCTGAAAAAGCCACATGTAGCAGTTGACTCAAATAAAAAAAAAAAATAAGCTGATCACAAAGACTGTAAATATATGTTCTGCAACAATGAATGATGCAGACCTGGTGTAAAATAAGCTTTGAGTGCAATGCCATTAGCTCATCAGACCCAACAAGCTACAGTAAAGAATACTTCTGGGGTGTTTGACATTTATTCTTGCTTGTCATGACATACTAAAATATACCACAGATGTTCACTGGTGAGCACAACAGGTTGCAGGTAAGTCAGAGTAAAAGTCAGAGTAGTCTGGTCCCAATGCTGTACTTCCGCTGATTCTTTTATGCTGACTCCCATGTGGAATTAGACAAGGATGCACTTTTCCCTCTCCATTAATGGTTTGTTTCGATGTATAATAAGCCCCATCATTTCTGTTAAAGACTTTGTAATATACTAAGTTGTTCACCGTAGTTATTTGCAGAAAAAGAAGTATAATTTTACATGGAGTTCTTTATTGAAAGAACTCAAATGAGGATCATTAACATCATTAATACTAAATAGTAAGAAAACTCTCTCAGCACCAAGGAATGAGGTATAGAGCCAAGATAAGCGCTAACAGCTTTGGTTTTACTCCCTTGTTTTCAGAGATTTTTATCTTGGCATATATGATATACTGGAGCTCAGTCAAGGACTGGAATTTTTTTCACAATCCATTTTATCTCCTGCTTGTAGGTGACTGGAATGCTATTATCCAAATTAATCTGCAATTCACCATCTCTAGTGAATTTACACCACAGACAAATTCAGTGCATAAAGTCAATCTGATACACTCCAAAAAGTAGATACAAATATGAATAGTGATTAGCACACATAAAAAGGTTTGTAGTCTTTTTTATCAAATAGCTTACAAACTCATTTTAAGCATAATTTAATGAGGTATAGACAAGTAAATGATTTTTGAAAGACTTCAAGAAAGAAATTGAACAAAAATGGTGTGTTTGAATTCAAGCAGTTTGGTCACAAAAACGAATGTACAGAATATCAACATCAATGTAGTCATCATTAGATATGGTCAGTAATTCTGCATTAAAAAGTGACTGCTCTTTCAACTAGTTTTTCACTTGCTGTTTTTAGAAGCAATACTATGAAATAAAAGTAAACAAAAATAAAAAATACTTCTCTTGCATTTATAAAAACATAATTAAAATGTTAGATGATTCCTACAGACAATTTACGGACATCCTTTAATTTTTTGCGAGTCATTTAAAGGGCTTTTACAGGTCTTTTCTTCATTCTTGAAGAAACATGACTTAACTGTCGTAGACCTACCCATTCTGCTTCTCCCCACAAGAAAGCAATTTAAAAGTTCCATTTTTTTATGGGACATAATCCTGGACAGATGGCTGGCAATAATACATGCTTCTATGCATAGACACACACAGAGAGATAGATATATAGGCATATAGACATATATATGCATTTTTTTAACTGGAGAGCATCTGCTCTTGTTTTGATCCTTTTCATATGGATGCTTTTGTGGGTAATAACAGCACTATAAACTGTTATTATATACCTTTTCATGATTATCATTACGATCCTTAGACAACAATACTCCTATGTTTCCTAGTAATCAATAGTTTTGAGGCCAAACTGAGATTTGTTTGCTACATACAGAGTTTTGAGATTTGTCTGCTACATACGTTTGCTACAGAGCCATCAGAGAATCTGGAGGCAAAGGAAAGAGGAAAGACAGGAGAAAGATGGGGAAAGGGGCAGGTTGGCTATACAGCAGCCCTGCAAAGCAGAAGCACAGAGGTCCTTTCTGAGATAAGCAGTGCTTTAGATCAGGGGTGACAGCAAAGATCTAAAGGGACAACTTAATCTTGACCTAGGGAACCACTGAGACATTCAGCGAAGCCCTACCACCGCTGGCTTCTTCAGGACCTACAACTTTAAACACCCATTTAAGTGCTTTAGAGAAAAGAGGCCAGATGGCTCAGCCCATTGCAAGACCAAACTCTTCCACCTGGTGCTACTCTGTGCAAATAACACACAAACTCCTAGAACACTAAAGGAATTCTGCAACTCTCAACACAAAGGTTTGCAGAAGTCAGGTTAGATCCAGGACAGAGAACTGACAGGAAAGCAGACTAACTGAACTAAAATTACGGTTGTGCTGTTCTGGTCGGTTTTTTAGTCACGTGTAGCAAAAGTTACTGCCCTGGTATTTGAGGGAGAAAATCTGCAAAGAGGAAAGAAATGAACTCTCCTATGCTTTTTCTTTCCCCTTGCGGTTGATAAAGTGACTGCCTCAATATAAAAGTTGTTGTATCAGCGACTGCTATATACTAATGTATATATATTCTAACACAACCTTTAAAAGTATTATGTCTATTCCAGTAAGAAAAAACATTTTTGGTAAATAATGCCTCCTGCTACACAAATAGCCATAGTCTGTCTAATTTGAAATCTACAGCATACAAGGTAAGGCAGAGAAAAACAATTAATATGGGTCATTTAATAGGATACCATGCTGTACTAATTTATGGGAAATAAAGGTCCATTCTTCTGAAGCTAGTTTTTGTACAAGTAGTTTCTAAAATCATAAAGACATTTTCTTCACTCTTAAGATTCTTTCCTTCTTTGTGCCAGAATTATTCATTAAAAAACATTCCAAAGGTTGAAAATTAAAGTGTAGAATTCTTCTTGCTTTTCTGGACAGTACTAACTTCTATAAATAATTTCTATTTATGGATTATCTTTTCCATTACAAAAATTGCAACATTACAAAAATTTCATACCAGAGTATGAAAAAAGTAGGTTCAACAATGGCATCTGTTTCAAAGGAACTCCATATACACTGATAGCACAAAAAGATTCATATCCACATATATAAATGAATAAATTGATATAAAACTATTTAAATAAATTAATAAATATATTATACTAGTTAATTAATAAATGGACAGATTTTTCTGCATATGACAACATTGACTTGGATTAGCTATAAAGTTTACAGTTGTCTTGCTAATCACCACAGACATCTCAGTCTTAGCTTCTTGGATGCAGGCAGCCAGCTACAAAAGCGGGCCATAAACATTGTAATAAATGTCTACAGTCACAACGCAGTATCAGCTGCAGACTGCAGTGATGATTTTCCTTTTGTGCTGCTGCTATGGCAGTTCTTATTTTCATGTACTGGTCTGTACACTAAACTCATACTTGCCTTGAAAACAGGCTAAACAACAGATCTGAAATGCAGAAACTCTGCAAGATAAGCATTGTCATCTTCCAATAATTGACTTTTTATAGTAAATTAAGTATTCCCTTCACTTAATTTGCAGGACAAAAACATGTCTGTGTAAGCCCACTCCAACGTGAAAGAAACATCAAAAAATTCTGCTATTAAAGTATTCAAAGGGTAGTCAATGTCTCCTCCAGACCAGATGACTGTGAATTTCTCACAGCACTCAGAAGTGTTTTCCATTTGAGCATCCCCTTACATAAGCTGAAACTTTAAACAGTATGAAATTCACTTTGACTCTTACCAGAAAAGACGCTGGGAATCTTGGAAAGAAAACTTTTGACTGTACGAATAGGAATCCCATTTTTCTCATCTTGCATGCGGGCTATGACGTCTTCCATCTGAACATAGAGAGAAAAAAGCAATGCAGAATTATTTCCTAAAATAAATTCTCCAATAAATGCTAGTTCAATCTCTCAGAATGACAGGTCCACTCTTGCTATTTCTTTTTTAACTTATCCTTTATATTTAGTTTTATTCAACAGGGTAAAACAATGCAAGTAATTTATTCATGGACAACAGTAAAAAAAATGCTTGTGCTCAAAGTCTCTTGACACATACCAATGCAGAACAAAGAGATTTAGTTAAAGTTAAAAGCAGTTGAAAGTAGTAGTTAAAAATGATTGCTGGATATAAAACACTGTGTTTTGGTTGTATTACTGGTATTGTACCACCTATAAAAGCAAAACAAACCCGTACAGCCTTCTAGAGGACTGATACAGTTCCCAGAAAGGCTGTACAAAACAACAATAGAGCTTGTAAGTTCAAAGCAAAAATTCCCTCTTTTTCTTTTGAGATGAGGAAAACAAAAATCATTATGCAATTTTGCATCCCTGGAAACAGCACAGGTTTTTTTTTTTCCAGTAACCCTGGAAAACAGAGTTATGGAAATAGAAGATTTTTTGTAGGTAATGGAGTGGGTATAAAAATGTTTAAAATAACTTTGCTGTATTTTTAAAATATTTTTACAGTAGCTCATTTTTCCCATCTCATTTTTTAGGATAATTTGGCCTGTACATTTTATAAATTATGCCCAAGCCAAAGGTTTACTTTCATGAGAACTATGAAAGCAAGCCCTTTTACTGGCAAATACGAAGAATATTTAGATAGAGTCATTGGTTGACAATGCCAGTTTTCATTCTTGCACATTTTGTAATTGAAGTTTATACATTAGATAACGTCCGTCTTTCTTTCTTTGAATATCTAACTTCTCAAATATTCAATGATATTGTGGTCAAATGAATTATAACTATCCATTCTTTTTTCCTATAATACCAACATACTCCATATGAAAAACACTGTGTGACAGCATTTTATATTATTTTATTAGTCAAATCTTAAAAAAAAAAATTCTATCCCACTTCTGTCCCTCCAGTAGGTTCCCAAAGAATTAATTAAAAGTTTGTGGCTGGGTTGTGTTGAGAAAAGAGACTAACAGACAAAATTCTGTGATACACCATTTTTCCACATAATTCAGATGACCCAAATCAGCAAAGAGCAAATCAGCATTAGTTGAAGCTGTGTATTAATTGCCTCAAAGGGGGAATTGTATATAGCCAGTAAAGGGAATGGGAACCGGGGTAACCAGTGGTGTTCATAGAGAAAAAGAAAAAAATTCCATACAAAAAATGAAAATAAAATAAATCAGTTCAACTGCTCATGAAAAACCTGTTTACACAGAGTGTCACGTCAGAGGTCTGCATGTTCCATCTACTCATGGATCATACATTAACAACCCAAGGAACACAAATCCACGGCATAGTCCAAAACAGAAAGTACACGCAAGTAGATGTTAGTGAGATGTGGAAGATAGAGTCTAAGCTCGGAATTGAAAAATGTACAAATCTAACAGAAGAAAAGAACCAATGTTCATTCTAATGACTTTTATCTGACATGGACTTTAGTTATTTAAATAGAAAAGGCTATTAGGAATGTTTTGAAGAAACTGTCAAGCAGACAAACTATTGTCTATGAAAAGGAATCTCTCCCTACATTTATTAGCCATATAATAAGTGAAGGCTTGTTTCAACCCCTTTCTAAATTCAGTTCGTAAACTGTCTCATTGAGCCCTTAAATGAGTAAGAAGTAGGTCAAATTGCTTTAAACAATAAATACAATTGTTACCATACATACATGGTCTTCTATGGAAATGAACAGAAGAAAATTTGATGATAAATTCCTTACTTGCAGCGTAAGCTCATAATAGCGCTAGAACCGCAGAGTGAATAATATGTATGTTACACTGAGACAAAGTTTAGAAGACAATTCATACATAAGGCAACATGATAAAGGTATATTTGCATTATAATAAGAATTACTACAAATGTTGGACACAATCCTGGAACATAATATTACAGGTAGTGATGTGCAGTTACCTCTTTCTCAGGAACACACAAGAGTGCAAACATTTAATGCCTAGCATTCCTAGAGCTGTCTGTAATCTGCCTTTTGAGGGTATATGTAATAAATTGTTAACTAACATTCCCATATGCTTTCCTAAACGTGCTTCATGGGCAAGATTTAATCTAAACTGTATAAAGCCTAACTCTGATAGGGACTGTAGCTCTGGGGGAGTTCTCTGGTTTTGATTAGCAAACTGAGCTCTAGGGTGTCTGCACTGCAAAATTACACCTTCCCCTGCACGTCTAGCTCACATTGTTTTTCTGTGTGAGGAGCAAACACCCTCTGTACAAAAGGCAGGTAACACTCCAGACAGCATCATTGTGAACTGTCTGGTCAATTCAATGAACAAAGATTATTATATAAGTGAGCGCGAATATTCTGAAACAAGATAAAACATAACAGCAGACTCCTAATTTAAGTTACAGTTGACCTGGGATTCTGCATTATGTGTCAGACTACAAAATTCTTATTTGTCCTGTCCCTTTTTGTGCAGTAAAAGGTCACTTTTGTTTTGTGATCATGTTAAATCTTAAGCATAAGAACTCAAGAAAATGAAAGGCAAATTTAAAAAAAAAATTCAATTAAAGATTCAAAACCATCTAATCCAATATATGTGAGTGCATAGTTTAAGTTTCAGTATATGTAGTCCCTATTTATGTTTTAGCTGCTTTAAATTCAGCAAAAGTATAATCTCTTCCACTGAAAAACATCTCGTTTAATTATATTTGGGAAGCAGCACTCAAGGCACCTCTCCATCATTCATCAACAATGACCTAAGACAATGAAAAGGGCAGAATAGTTTAATTAGAATGATGAAAGAAATTCTACACCTAATTTTACTCAAGAAGTCTAATCTTGGAAACACAAGCTGCTGCTTGATATAATAATTTTCCTTCCTGATGTATCATTGTTTGCTTCTGATTCACCTGACCTGACACTGTGAAGTGAAATGTAAACTCCTTCACTTCACCTCAGAGGTGATCGTCCCCCTGTACTCGGCACTGGTGAGGCCCCACCTTGAGTACTGTGTCCAATTTTGGGCCCCCTACCACAAGAGGGACATTGAGGTGCTGGAGCAGGTCCAGAGAAGGGCAACGAAGCTGGTGAGGGGTCTGGAGCACAAGTCTTACGAGGAGAGGCTGAGGGAACTGGGGTTGTTCAGTCTGGGGAAGAGGAGACTGAGGGGAGACCTTATCGCTCTGTACAAGTACCTGAAAGGAGGCTGTAGAGAGACGGGGGTCGGTCTCTTCTCCCAAGTTACAGATGATAGGACAAGGGGTAACGGCTTCAAGTTGCGCCAGGGGAAGTTCAGGTTGGATATTAGGAAACATTTCTTTACTGACAGGGTTATACAGCATTGGAATGGGCTGCCCATGGACGTGGTGGAGTCACCATCCCTGGAGGTATTTAAGAAACGTGTAGACATGGTTCTTCAGGGCATGCTCTAGTGCCCAAGATTA